ACTATCCAAATGTCCGCTATCCAGTGTCTGCTGAGTCACTTGGATTTCCTATAGCAACTTTAAACTTGGAGGTCCCCATTTAAACTTACGTTCCTTTGTTTAGACTTGCTCCTGCTCCTGTGTTTCCTGTGCATGAATGCCCAACTACTTGTGGAAGACAGAGATGTTTAAGTCATCTTTATTCCTTTTTCTTCTCCTACATCCAACAAATATCCATGTCCTTTCTATTCTAACTCCTAATGTCTCTAAGTTTTCATTTTTACACTAAGCTCATTGCCACTATTTTAGTTCAGTTCTACTTTGATTCCTAACTGGTCTTTCTACTATAGATATTTATTCTTCAGTCCCATGCATTATACTGCATCAAGAGTGATATTTGTAAAACACAATTCTGGCCATATTCTACCAAGCTTAAAAGCTCTTAAGACTAACTCCAAATGTCTAAAGATGCCATCCTGGGTACTTCATGATCTTTCCCCTACTCCCCTTTTTCAGCCTAAAGCCATTTTTTCTTACTCTCATGCTCTGTGTTGCTGGAATGTTGAATGGCTTTTAGTTCCTTCACTGTCCATGCCTCTATTGCTTTTCAGCCTGTCAGAGTGCTCCATCTTCTTGGATTCTTTTTAATCTCTTTCCCTAACTCCTGATCATTCTTAGGATTCATCTTATGGGGGACTTCCTGTAGGAAATCTTTGTTGATGCCTCCATGCCAACGCTGAGTTGGTGTGTCTCCCACATGATCCTCTGGTATCCCTGTGCTTATACCTGTTTTACTTAATATCACACTCTACTATTATTCATGTGGCTTCCTTTCAGTTACATTGTAATTTGTTTTATTTGTTATTGCAGCCCTATTACCAAGCACAACCAGTTTGGCTGTGCTATTTTTACAATAGTTATTGTTGCTATTGTAGGCAATTAATAAATATTTGTTTAATTAACTAGTAATAGTATGAGTGAGTGATTGAATGAATTTTTTGGCAAACATTTATAAACCAATTTGGAGTATAGTTTTAGGCTTGAGGTTTAAGCACAAAGCTCAACATAGCTATAATGTTGGGTTTAATCAAGATAATGTTTTATAACAGGAAAGAAATAGCATTGAAAAATTTCTTTACACATTCCTTATAATGTTCTGCATGATGTTATATAGAAGGCATTTTTAAAACAATTTATCTCCCTATATTTTTATATGACAGTAAGTAGAATAGAAATTCTTTAAATTAAACAGAAAAATGTTATATAATTATTTCATTGCTTTTACATATTCTTCTGTATTATATATGTTGTTTTTTAAGCTTGGATCTAAAAGATTTATACAAAAGTACCCTGATATTCTGAATAATCTATTAGACAAATAGGTACTTTATGGAGTACCTACTGTGTTCCGGGCACTATACATGTTTTTTGCATATTATTTTATCAAGCTCTCCTCCCTAAAACAACTCTGAAATAGGTGCAATTCTCACTCATGTTACAGATTGAAGAATGCAAGATTAAGAGGGAGTGATGAGGGTTCAGACTCAGGACTCCAGGTTCCCCAACATATGGGCTGAATCTATATCCTTTTTCAATCTTATTTGATCCTTGGATCAAATAAATATGAACTTCCCCCTCACCTACCATTTATGTCTGGAATTAAGTAAATACAACATTGCTTTAACACATTTTTGCTATAATAAGTTATCTGTAACTGAGAGTATGAGTTCCACCGTCAGGAGTATACTAACCAGAAGTAGAACCTATGCAGGAATAAGAATGAACAATCCATTAGCAGCAATAATATAAAATATGACAAAACATTAAGCATGTGTATCAGAGGAGTCTCAGGGCAAAGAAAGGTTAAGGTATTGGGCTTGGGTTTGGTGGAGAGGTGGCTTTATCAATGTGCCAGCAAGGGAGCAGCATAGCTTCAGGCAAAGTCACCAGCTTCATGATAGTGCCAATATTTTACCAATAATTTCAAAAAATGTTTTTCTAAAGAAAAAACAAAATTTGAAAGCAGAAGTAATTGTGTTTTACATGTTTGCAATACTTCTGAAAAATTTTCCCAGAAAATTTCCCCTCCCAAATTTTCCCTGAAAACATACATATACATACATACATATATATATATATATTTACAAGTAAATATCTTGTTTTAGCATATAGTAAGTGCTATTCTATTTAACCATGAGAAACATGAATATAGTTTAAAACTGGAAGATTGATACCAAGCTCATGCCAATGAAAGAAATTTAAATATAACCTCCAAAAACATGTGAAGGATTAAGGTAGTATGGGATAAAAGTGAAAGCACTTTGACTACAGAGTCAGAAAGTTCCAATATTTGTGCAAGTTATCTTTTTAAACTTCAGTTTTCTCATTTGGAAAAAATTTGGAGAAACCTCAGAGTACTGCCGTGAGAATTAAGTGAGAAGATGAATTAATGTGTCTCGCTCATAGTAAGAAATCAATAAACGTCTGTAATTATTAGTACTGTTATTAATGGTGATGTTTTGATCATGCTACTACTACTCTCAGAACGGTGAATATTATATTGTTTCTATAAAGTCCATATATCAAAGGAGTCATCAAGTGGATTTTCACATCTTTGGAGACTTAACTCAGTTTTATTTGACACCAGCCACATTATTCTAGACCGAGATTTGGGGATAACACAGTTATTTTTGTTGGCTACAAGATCTCATCAGCATGCATTTCTACTCTAAGAACTCTGTTTTAACGTTATATCCTCTGTTCTTATTCCATTTTGGTAAGCATTAAAAGTTTTGAATGTTTCCTCTACTAATTAGAAAACTGGTTCTTTTCGGGTGAATTCTAAGTGTTAGACGATAAACAACTTCAGTCAGTATCTACTGACTAAAAGTTGAGTCAGTAAGATCACTTGCAAGAATTATATATTATTATGAATCAAAATAATCTTCCCCCAAATTAAAATCATGCCTACCATGTCTTATGACTCCTGTTACATGCCTTCAAGTAGAGGAATAAGGAACTAGGAAAGAGTATTTTTTTGATTCAATTATGCTTAGTCATTAAAAAAATCAAAACAAAACAAGGCACTCTGTTCTGCAGAATGAGCAATTAGGTTTAAGTTTTTTTTCTTAAATAGGCCACTTGTTATTCTGTGTTGGAATAGTTCAGAAGTTCAGTTAATTTCATGTAAACACTCAGAATTCTCATTTTTTTCTTGATTGAGCTAAGCTTTTTTAAAAAACAACATGTTTTGAAGTGAATATTTTAGCAGAAATATTTTTAATGTATTTCTGAATTTTGAATAGGAGTTTAGCTTGAACTTTGCTTTTCTAACCACCTTTTCTGGTGGCTCTATCCCTGTATGAATTCAAACTAAACATCACACTGAGAAAAGAAGCACATTATAGAGTTTCATTTCATCAAGCCTTTGCAATATGATGGAAAGAGTTCAAAATTAGTTAGAATCCTACCTTTACTACTGTGGACAAAGTAATTAGCACTCCTGGGCCTCCTGTACCCCATTTATAAAACTGTAAAGCTACTACTTACTTCAAGAGCTATCACGAGGATTAAATGAGATAACGCCCATAAACGCCTAGTCTAGGATACTACTGTGGACAAAGTAATTAGCACTCCTGGGCCTCCTGTACCCCATTTATAAAACTGTAAAACTACTACTTACTTCAAGAGCTATCACGAGGATTAAATGAGATAACGCCCATAAACGCCTAGTCTAGGATGGCATCTGGCACATAGCAAGACTAGATAGCATTTGTCATCATTCCTCTCTGGCATCATTCTTGTCAACTCTGCCAGTGGCTTAAGACTGCTTCTGTTTTATCCTGTCCATAACTTGTAGTGTTTGGCACTCAGTTAAAGACATAAAGAAGAAATCTTCTATATATAATAAAATTCTACTAATTAAGAGCAGTTAAGGCAAAGTTTCTGGCTATCATTTTTTGGAATTTAGGATATTTTATGAAAACTGAAGTTTGATGCTTTAAAAAGCAAAGTACTGTATAGAAACCATATTAACAAAATGTCACCTCCTAATCTCTGCTTTAATGAACGGATAACTTTGATTTGTTGGCATGCCAATTGCTACAGTATATGATAATATACTTTGTAAACTATTTGGAAAAGAGCTGTTTCCTTACATACTTTAAAACTTCCTTGTTGGGCCGGCCCGGTGGCGCACTGCTACAGTGTGCCGCTTGAGAGTGCGGCGGCGCTCCCGCCGAGGGTTCGGATCCCACATACAGAAAAAAAAAAAAAAACTTCCTTGTTATTTCTCTCCCTTGATACCTTCTTATAGATATTTTTTTTTAAAAAAAGTTATCAACTCCTGGCTAACTGATCCCAAATAATAAATTAGTAGAATCTGAGTTAATGAAATTTTATTATTATTTATTTTATAATCTGAAATCATATTTTCAAAATGAGAGCTGTGTTTTAATGATGATATTTCTTAGCATTATCCTCTCTTTTTTTTTTCCTTTGTCAGGATATTTTAGTATCCTGGGACCATCTACAACAGATGCCTATAAATAAATTTTTTTTCTACCTTTTTCCTTTACTTTCTCTCTTTCTCTTTCAATTTCACTTTCCCTATATTTCATCCTTGAATGGTTTATTCTAATTTTATATTCTTAAAAACAATAATCGTGATGATAATATTTAGAGACAGGGGAAAATAAGCTAATGGGATATAAGGATGTCCCCCCGTTGTAGGTTTTGGTGAAACTGAAACACTCTCAGCATCTTTCAAGAAATTTCTTAATATCCCAATTTATGTTAACATTTTTTAAAGGAACTATTTGATCACTTAAGGAGTTTGCTTCTGGCTAATGAATAAGGACTAGAATCAAAGAAGAAAGAAGCTGAAATAACTGATCAAAAGCTGTGACTCTTACTCTTTCAATATATTCTCTGGTTGGTTTTGAATTATATAAGGAAATAAAAATCTCCTACAATTTTCTAGTTTTTAATTTTTTAATTACTGTTTCTTCATTTTCTTTCAGAACTCTTGATGTTTCAGTGAGCTTTAATGGAGGAAAATCTGTCATCTCAAGCTCAATAATAATCACTGCCACAGAATGTGTAAGTAAAATGTTTATGTAAAGTTACCTTTTAAAAATAACCTTATCCAGAAACTGTGGAGTCTCAGAAGATAGAGACAATAACACTGAAGGTCATTACAAGGACGAATTTATATAGAATTTATTTTATGTTTTGTTGTTTAGCCTCCTTTTAAAGGAATTTTAAGAGAGTATACATTTGATTTTGATATTTATAAAATTCAAAAGTCATATTTAAAATCAAAGTAAGGTGAGAAAATAATGTCCAAATGAAGCATTTTTTTCTTAAAACATTAAATATGAAAATGATGTTTTTCTGTTATGAAGTGTAGATTTTAGCATCTAAGACATTCATCATGTTTTGAAATCATTAGTGCATGTTAATTTTGCCCATCGTAAATGTTGGTGCTTTCTACTATGAATAAGAAGTTTGATTTTACTGATGGCCAGTTAGTTCAGTTGGTTAAGCATGGTGCTGATAATACCAAGGTCCGGGGTCCAATCTCTGTACCAGCCAGCCCCACACACACAAAAAAAATTGATTTTGATAGCTTGATAATATCTCAGTTTGAAACTACATTGAAACTGCATTTCAGTTGGGATTATTGACTTGAATTGCCTAAAATTCAGTATTTCTAAATGTAAACTCCATTTATGAGACAGTTTTTTTCTTATAGTCAATTTTGTAGATTTATAGAAGCTTTGATATTAGATTGTTGAACATGAAAACATGAAGTGCTAAGAGGAACTGACCACATGGCTGTTATTTTTAAGGGTACTTCAAAGAGTTTGTGGAAAAATAGAATTAAATGATAATATGAATCTTTCCATGAACTTTTGGAAGACCCCTTCTATTTCCTTTGTAAAAAATATATAAATAAAAGAAAAAGGAAATTTTTCTGCCTTCCAAAAGAACCAGAATCCCAAACCTAAACATTTCTCACATCTTCTGTTTCATGGTTTAATATATTGGTCTGTTAATTCAGGTGACATCTTTCCTAGAGAAAAAAAAACAAAACAATTAAATGTTATCTATATAGAGGTAGTTGTGTTTCTCACTGTGAGACAGTGTTGCAGGGAAAAGGAACATACATATGGAACACTGGGTTACTTTTGAACTCTCTAGATAACTGATCTCTATCAAAGGAGGGTACTTCAAAAAGTTCATGGAGAAATGAAATTAAAGGATAGTATGAATCTTTCTATGAATTTTTCGAAGACCCCTCATACCTGCTTCTATTTTGAGAATAGCTAAGTTGTTTTTTTTTTTAATCTCTAATGCATGTGGCAATTTGCAGGTTTTGTAAATGTTGCAACTTGTAGGTTTTCTGGACTCTCAGGATGTGGTTGAGGTTACAAATATTTGTGGTATGTAGTTTTTCAGTGTTCGGCTCACTGAAATAGCATTCTTGTTCCATTTTTCTTCCTATTCTGCACCTCCAGCTGTCTTTTTCCTCCTAGGATACAGGTCTTTGTTCCTATCCTATAACTGTGCACCATTTACATATACAGGGATGCTGAGGTTAAATGGCTCATCTTGAATCTATGGGTGTGTGCTTTTAGGAAATCTTCCTAGGTCTTCTTAGTTTTCAGGAGAGGGTAATGTGACTCGAGGTGGTTTCAGAAAATGTGAGTAAGGTGGTTTCAGAAAAAGGAACATTGGCTGTGTCAGAGATGGGGAGAGAGTGATGGGGCAAGTCGTAATACTAAATAAGGGGTCAAGGCAATTCTCACTGAGAAGATGAGTGATGAGCAAAGACTTGAGGAAGGTGAGGGAGTGAGCCTGGAAGACCATTGGAGGGAACAGTGTTCCACACAGAGAGCAGCTATAACAAAACCTGAGGTGGGACTGTATCTGACAAGTTGAACAAAGAGCAAGGCAGCCAGTGTGCTTGAGTGAAGGTAGTCAGGGGAGAGTAGGAGTCTCAAGATGAGAGGAGAGAGTGGCAGGAGTTAGGCAGATCATGTAGAGCTGTGTAAGGCATTGTAAAGACTCTAGCTTTTCTTCTGAATGAAATGCGGAGGACCCAGAAAGTGACATGTTTTGACATAATGTTTTAAAACAATCATTTTGGCTGCTGTGTGAAAATAGACTTTGTGGGTGGGGGCAAAAGTGGAAACACTGAGACCAATTTTGTGGCTATTTCTGTAATCCAGGAGAAGGGAACGGTGGCCTCACCGGGGTGATGGCAGTGCAGATGGTGAGAAGTGGTTGAATTGTGATATATTTTAAAGGTTGAGCCCATGAGGTGACTATACGGATTAGATTTGGGGTATGAGAGAAATAAAGAAAATTAAGAATAGTTTCAAGCTTTTTCACCTGAGCAATTAGAAGAATGAATTGTCATGAGGTAGAGCAGTTTCTGGAAGAAGATGAGGAGCTCCGTTTTGATGATGTTGAGTGAGAGATGTCTATTAAACATCTCAGTGGAAATGTCAGAGAGGCCCCTGAATACACAAGTCTGGAGTTCTAGAGAGAGGTCTGGATTGGAGGTACAAACCTGGGAGTTGTTGAGGAATGGATGAAATGAAATAGGCTGCAAAATCCCACGTAGTATTAACTGGAAGAAAAGTGGCTTTCAGGAGGTTAGAGCAAGACGGGAAGGAGTACCAGAGAAAGGATTTATGTTTATGGAGGAACCAAGACCAATGGGCCTTGAAGGGAGAGCAGGACTTACACACAGAGAGAGGAGGGAAAAGCATATTACAGAGAAAGAGCAGAGAGGGGATTCTTCAAATTGAGAGTGGATATATTTGGTTGGAGTGGAAATAAAAGTGGAAGTCCATCTTCAAATAGAATATTTAGACCAGATTATCAGTAACCCCAAAAAACAGATCGCGTTTAGAGTTCACCCTACAGGCCTGTGGTTCCCAAACTCTGCTACACAGAGTTGTCAGTGTTGAAAAGAAAAAAAAGGAAAGAAAATTGATTCATTTTTTCATGATGTTAGATTTATTCAACTTTAAAGAAATTTTTTATTTGAAATTGTTCTTCTGCCATTTTAATTTTAAAATAAACTTTGATTGGGGAAACATCACTGTAGTAATTTGTCAGGACCAATTTCTCCTTCCCTTCCTTCCTTTTTAAAGGGCTTTGGGTATGAATGTGATGGTGCAGCATAGTGTTTGGGGAAGATTAAATTAGTGGTGCCATGTATGAGAATTAGTACAAGGAAAGAAAAACAAGGCACAGAAGAAGCTTTCAGGATATTAAGAGACAAATTCTAGAATTTAGGCATAAAACTTTAGGTTCTGAATTGACTGATGGTGGTAGAATCAGTACTAGAAATGGTATCAGAAATTGTATTAATGATGAAATGTATATTATAAAGTGACTTACTGATTTTGGAGGGAATGATTGATTCCGAAAATTGAATCTCACAGTCTGAAAGAATGATGCTACCATTGGAAACATCTAAAGATAGAGCTAAATCTAGAGATGAAATGAATTTTCATTGTTGATGTAGGGCCTAAGAGAAGACATCCCTTCAACCTCCTGAAGGTTCTCTGAAAAATCACTTAAAAAACACAGATTAATATGAAAAAAAAGGCATAGCAAATTTTATTGTATCACAGTTGGGCATGACACAGGAGCCATCAGAATGAAGACCCAAAGTTATAGGGAAAACTGTTCACATATATGCTTAGGTTCTGTGAAGCAGGCATAGCTGCATAGAAATGTGATTGGACAAGAAAAGCATGTCTAATGCTAACAGACTGAGTGGGGAAACCCAGCAAGGCTTGTCCAGATTCTTCTTGGCTTCTCTGTGCAGCATTCATTCCTCCAGGGTATGGGGCAGGACCCTTTCTGGAATAGGCATCTTATGACCTATAGTCAGACAAAGTAGGTCAGAGAATTCCTTTATGGCCACCTCCATGACACAGAGGCAGGGGGAAAGATTAGAGTATATCTATGTCCTGCCTTGGGGAAGAGAGATTCCAAGTTTCTGTGGCTTGTCTCAGGGGAGAATGAGAATGAGAATGAGACAGGACAGAAGGAGAAGGACAGAGAAAACATTGCTTTTGCGGCTTCTTCTGAGGCCTTTGCTTTGGGGTATCATTTTCTGGATCGCAACATAGATGTGCTGAGTGAGTGAGGTTGGCAATGTCAGATGGGTAATTGTAGATATAACTTCAGGTCTCAGAGAGAGATGAGGGCTGGAGAGAAAAATTTAAAGTTTCACTTCTGTTGAAATTGTAGGAAAGGTAAAGAAGATTGGAGAATTGAGGGTTAATGGCATTTTGAACTGGGGGGAATACATAGGGTCAAAGAACAATTGCATTGGATAAAATTAAACAGGCAAGGAAGACAAGACTATTGCAAGAGGGGAGAGAGATTGAATTCATCTCTTCTGGAACAAAGGGCTGGAGAATTAGGACTTGTGGTAGGGGGAATTGGAGGCCATCTGTATCTGCTAATTGGCCTTACCTAAAGGAAAAGTAAACTTTCTTCCACCTTCCTGACAGGAGGTGATTCTCAAACTTGGAGCAGGGTGCCCACTGAAGTTAGACTTCTACCGTTCTGCAGAGACTGTGAGATAAGGGTGCTGTTTTTTTGATGATTACATTTCAAAGGATGGCTCTGAGGTCCTTGAGAAAGACATTCCTCCAGGGTCTGTAAAATTGGCAAGATGCTTTTAAAAAGATGTCTATACCTTTCAAAGGGCAGAGAAAGATTTTGCAATTACAAGTTTTCTAAAGTAGATTCTTCAAAACAAGGGAGATCTGAGACCCACAGATCTCTTTTGATTTGATAAGTTTAAAGTCACTTTAAACCTGATTTGATTAAAGTTTAATGTTTAATCAAGCTGAGGAGAAAGGTAATAGGCTAAGTGAAAAACTGAGTAAGAGAAGGCACAGCTCAAGACATGGAATACCCAGGATTTACCAAATAAGGAAGACAAGAGAAGATAGAGTTCCAATGTGAAGAGAAGGCAGTGGTAGCCTGGGAGAGGTCAAGGACAATGAGGGCTGAGAGGAGGTCTGAGCGGTCACCAGTGACCTACCTGTCCTTAGCTCAGG